TTTTCATTAGCAGTTAAAGCCTCAATTTGATGAACAATGACATCTTTTTAGTATTACTACCATTTATACAGGTCTGAGAATGTCTATATGCCCTGTCAAATTTATTTTGCTCCTTGTCTTGTCTTACAAATATGTGAAGAAAATTGAGACTGGCAGTGAAAACTTTCAATATTTTCTAAACAACTGTCACATCCGAAACCTCTCATAAATTTACTCAGGGATAAAGTACCATGCTATTACATTCTTCTCATTTTTTATAGTGAAAAAATATATTAAAGGATATGAAGTGAATGAATCAAATGGGGACAACGCTGAGGAGCTACTGGTGGCTGTTTACATCAAATCCAGAAATGACAATGAGTAATCAAGATAAGCTGATATTTAGGGTTTTCATAAATTTCACGTAAGATAAAATTCAACTTAATTTCCAACATCTTGCGTTGCATTACCAAAGTGAATAGAGAAAATAATTAAAAACAGAAATATTTCCTAATCCCAGAAAATTTGAAACAAAAATGATAATTGAAAGGAGGGAATGCTTTCCTCTTTTTTTGAGTTTCATAATGAAAAGAAGTATCTCCTCCTTCGACTTCTGGTTTAACAAGATACTAGTTCAAAAAAAAAAAGAGATAAGAAGACGAAGGATAACACCGAGTTAAACAAATGAATGTGGTGCGGATATAGTAAGATTAATACCGTCTATGACTCTGATAACTAAACCACTATTAACACAAAGCCTGCTAATGCCATTCTCCGGATACATTTTCACTTGGGGCGGATTTAGGATTTTTATAATATGGGTGCACTACTAAAAAGGGGAAAAAATAAAAGTATTAAGTGGGAATTGATCCCTCCTATTCCTCTAGATAAATAACTTAGCATCCAACCAAGTGCACCATTTAGCCTTTTTGGAGCATGGGTGCCAATTGGTAATATTTGATCAATTCTAAAAAATATGTACATAAAATACCTAGTTTGACGGAAAGACCATGGGTTCACGTGTCCCATACACTGGGATGTAGCTCCGCCCCTGGCAAGCTTCTTCCATTTAATTCCCATGTGTTAGTACCTTTTCGGGAGCTATGACTTGAAGATCATACTTGAACCAATATCAAAACTGAATGGCAGTCATAAAATGAGATCCATCACCCAAACATCAATAAGAAGCATAACCTGCATGCTTACATGCCCGGCTTAGGGTTCACTGTTTGCTTTTGAATCGTGACAAACGACTAAAAGCGTTAGGCTACTCTCTGAGCAGTCTGCCAATCTTTAAGCCTCCACTGAAGACAGCACCATTCTGCAATAGATGAGTTTCAGGAGCAACCATGCTTGTGACAGACTTAGAAACTCCAATAGATGCACAGGCTTGCAAAATTTGAGTCACTGTTTAAATGCTTTAAAAACAAAATGAGTCCAAGACTCGGCATCTAAAAGTTTCTTTCCACTTTATATTCTTCAAAATGATGCCAGGAAGTAAGAGAATTTAGTTGCAAAATGTTATTTTCAATGATATAGTCAACAAATATAAGTTACAGTTGGTGCTTTGACCTATGTTCAGACATTAAAAGAATCTATAAACAACAACAATAATCCAATATAATCCCACTAGTGGGCTCTGGAGAGGTTAGTGTGTACGCAGACCTTACCTCTACCATGAGGTAGAAAGGCTGTTTCCAATAGACCTCTTGGGGTGACTCGAACTCACAACCTCTTGGTTAAAAGTGGAGGTTGCTTACCATCAGAGCAACCCCTCTTGTCTATAAACAAAACTTAAAAATATTTATAAACATACTATATCACCAATAATCCCTGCATGAACAGGTTCCATTTCTGAAGTGATGGAACCTCCTTACATCCCTAACAATGATCTCTCTCTTCACAATCTTTGAGATAAATTTAGTTGCCTCATGGCAGTCATTGCAAACCCTGAGGTTCTTTGCAACCCGTATTGGCATTCCAGGAGGTGTATTAAGGATACCAAAAGCTATAGCTAATTTTTCACTGTGTCCGCAAAGTAGATTTTCCTTTTCCTCCTCGTTAACATTGTGAAGAACACAGGAAGTGTCTGGCACATAACCTTCCTTTTTCATCTTTTCTGACAAAGTCTCAAGAAAGCCATACAGCTGCTCACTTTGTGGGTGTGATGCATCTCCAGCGACGAACTTGTGAACTTCATCTCCAAACTCAATCCAACTGCACCCAGGTTCTTTTCTTACTCCAATTTTCTTCATGTTACGCCGAACCATGTTCGCCTTTTCCCAAATCCCAGCAGATGAATAAATGTTGGAAAGTAATACGTAGTGACTAGCTACGTGTGGTTCCAACTCAAAGAGATTCCTTGCCGAAATTTCACCAAGTTCTACATTGCGATGGATCCTGCAGGCACCAAGTAAACTACTCCAGGCACCAATCTTGTTGTATTTAGAGGGCATCTCATTTACAAGCTGATAGGCTTCTTCTAGATTCCCTGCACGACCAAGCAAATCAACTACGCAGGCGTAATGATCTGCCGTGGGTTCAGTAGCATAAGTGTTTTTCATTTTTTGGAACAATTGCCGACCTTGATCTACCATCCCTGAGTGACTACATCCGGCAAAAATTGCAATAAACGTGACGTCATTGGGCTTCACTTTCCCTTCTAGCACCATCATCCTAAAAAGTTCTAAGGCTTCCTCTCCCTTTCCATGCATCCCATAAGCCATAATGAGAACATTCCATGTGATCACATTTTTGTTAGTCATGCTATCAAAAACTCTCCTAGCAATATCTAAGCAGCCACACTTTGCATACATATCAACCAATGCACTTCCCACAGCAATATCCATTGCCAATGCATTTCTGATAGCATAAGCATGTATTTCTTTTCCCTTCGTTAGAGCAACCAACGAGGCACAACCAGGAAGGACAGTCATGAGGGTTATTGAATTGGGTTTTAACTGAAATTCGACATCATTCTCACAGTCATTGTTTATTTTTGGTGTCTGCATCTCATGTAACAAAATAAGTGCATCTTCATGGTAACCACAAACTACAAAACCGGTTATCAAAGTATTCCATGAAACAATATCTTTACTCTCCATGCTGTCAAATATATACTTTGAAATATTTATCTTTCCCATCCTAGAATACAAGTCCATCAATGCATTTTGCACATACTTCTCATCTGCGAAACCCAATTTAATAACATACCCATGTATGACTTCTTTAAGGGTAAATGCTTCACAATGTACACAGGCAGGCAAAACACTTGCCATAGTAGTCGGGTTTGGACTTATCCCAGAGAATTCCAACATCTCTGTAAATAACAGCAATGCCTCCTTAAAGAATCCATTTTGTGTGAATCCAGCGAGCATAGCATTCCAAAGCCCAATGCTTCTTTTTAAGGAACTGTCGAAAACTTCACGCCCACTTTCAACCTGTTGACAATTGCAATACATGTCAACCAATGCACTAGCAACAAATGAATTCCCAATCAAATCATCATTCTTCAAGACATAACAATGAATTTGCTTCCCAACATCCAGCAAAGCCAAATGAGAACACGCAGGAAGAACACTTGAAATCGTGAATCCATCAGGCTTTATCTCTTCTTGTATCATGAAACTAAAGTTATCCAACGCCTCTTTAAACTGGTCATTCTGTGAAAAAGAACTTATAATCGTATTCCACGAAACAATATCCCGGTTTGCAAACAATTCAAAAACAGCTCTCGAGTCATCAACCCTTCCTAATTTAGCATACATAGATATCAAAGCATTGTTAGTAAATGTTTTCCTATCATCTATTCTCAAACTATACCCGTGAACTTGCTTGCCAAGCCTCAACCCATCAGTCCTAGGCAAATTACTACAAGCAAGCGCCACGCTCACCAACGTAAACGAACTAGCCTCGAATCCATCTAACCCCATCAGCCTAAAAGCCTCCAATGCTAACTCCCACTTCTCAAATTTACAAAGAGCATTTATTAAAGAATTCCAAGATACTTGATCTCTTTGAGTAATTCTATCAAACACTTTATAAACATCATCAACACTACCACCACATTGCCCAAGAAAATGGATAAGCGAATTCGCCACGGTGGACGATAGCGTATCATACCCTAATTTAACAACAGAACCATGTATCTGTTTTCCAAGATTCAAGTCCAGAAGGCCGGTAGCAGCTTTCAGAACTGCAGGGAAAACAAAATTATCAGGTCTAATGCCTTCAGCAGTCATATGTATATATGTAAGGATTGCATCTTTGAAGCAGTTTAAGCGTACTTGGGATCGAAGAGTATCGATCCATGGAGCTGCAGAGGGTGTTTCTGAGGTGGGTTCTTGTTCAAATTTCTTGGAAATGAGGGTAGTTGTAGGTGATGGAGTTGAAGGTAGTTTTCTTGGTGGGTTTTGAGTAAATGATGGGGAAGGCTGTTGAAGAGGAAGAGAAAGAGGGGAAGTAGAGAGTGTACATGTCCAAGAGGACATTGTTGGTAGTTATTACAGAACAATAGTGATAAGGTAGTTTTAAGTCTAACTGAAGAAATGATGTGCAACAGTTTATGCACATAGTACAATACACAAAAAAATTTATTCCAAAAAGAGAGGACATAGAAACAAATAAAAAAAGAAAAGAAAATAAAGGTTTGTTTTCGGTATTTTCATAAGGCTGAATAGTCAAAAAGACACCCAGCTTGTTCTCTTTTGTCATTCCGACCCTTTATCTTTACGAAATTTCATTCAAACACCTAAACCAGTTCAAATTACTCTTTTGGTCATAGATTTTTTCGGCAATTCATACCTTATCCTGTTATCCTTGGTAGAGGTGGTAAGATCTTTATTGCAGGGAACTAGTTACTTCTGTCCCTTTCTTATGTCTCTCATGAATCTTATTATTAACTATATAATAATAAGTGGAATTTCTATCATGTTTTGTCGTTAAAGGGCATTATGGTACTTTTCTTGACTCTATTAATATTCGAAGCGACGTGTCATTATGGTGTCCTAGCTTTACACGTGTTAATGCTAAAGCACTAAAACTTAATACTGTCTCGTTCTCTCCGTCCTCCTCTTCTGCTTCCAGCTTTTTTTCTTCTCCTTTTCTGTTTGTTTGCTTGTTATCGGCTTTTCATTTTCCTTTTGGGATTTATCTGTTTTTCTGGTGATATTTTGAGTTTTAGAGCTTCAATTATCTTCTCTGTTTCTTCGGACATAATCTTTAACCAACGCCTTCCTTTCGTTTTTCTTCTATTCTTTCAGACATGCTTTACAATTGTCTAATTTGTGCCAGAGATGACAACCGGTGTCTACTGACAAAAGGAGAAGAAAACAGTCATATATAAGTCTATTTGTTTTGGTGATTTTTTTCTGTAATTTTCCTTTGTTTGTTAGTAGTCACAATTTGTTGGGTATACATTAGTTTCCTAGCTATTCTTTTGGTAGGCATATGTTTTTTAAAGATATTTTATTTGTTGGATTTTCATATGCATATCAATAATTTAGTTGTATTTTCTCATTCATGTTAGGTATTTAATCCTTAGTGCATCAGCTATTGAAGATTCTTTACCTGCGTATATTTTGGTTCTCTTAACTTTTGTAGCATGCGAGTTATTCACTCCTCATAAATAAGTGGTAATAGTATTTATTTCATATATGAGTAGTATGCAACGGATATTTACTTGTGATGCTTTAGTGACCAAAAAATATCCTTGTACTATTTAAGTTATTGGAAGGATATTCTTCCGTTTTTTTTGGTCAAAAAAAACTAACGGCCAAGCAAAAGAGCATACCAAGCACACGGGTTTTCTCCTAAAGTTTCCAAGAGTGCCTTTCCTGTCTTATCATCTTCCACCTTCATAAAAAGTAGTCTTGCTGAAGTGCACTAACACCACTAATTCTTTATTTTTGTTCAGGTGAAGCAGTGAGACGTTGCAAACTCTTGAGCAAAAAGAGAAGCAAGAGCTATTATTTCACGTATCACGAGGAAACGAAAATGAATTATTTGTCAACAATTGATGCAGGAGCAAATAGTGATGATTCTTATGATGATGATTTTGAAGATTCTGATTATACCTTGGGCGAAGATGATATATTATTCTCCAAAAATATTGATCCTTCAGCTGAATCTTTTGGGATCAGTATACATGAAAAAAAATGATGGAAAACAAGATTATGTAAGTGGAGGGATACAGAATGAGAAGGGTGACTCAAATTGTGTATATTCCGATGATTTGAGTTTGAATAGTGACTGCGCACTTTGGCCAGTTTTTGCTTGTCATCTTTCTTCTTCGTTCTTCTTTTTAAATGCGCTAGCATCATTTGATCCTCGAACATAATTCCAAATTACTCCATAGCTTTTACTTAGCCTTCAAAGCTCCATAGTAGCTTAAAAACGCTCTATAACCTCATTATAGCCCGGAATCGCTCCTGCAAAGCATAAAACACACAGTCAGTGCAAATTAATATCATTTAAAGTTCAAAAATTAGTAAAGTGCAGCGAATTAGAGTACAATTAATGGCCAAAATATACAATTATAGCCTATCATCAACACCCCACACTTAAACCATTGCTCGTCCTCGAGCAATTCAACTACACTTCCTATAAATACGCCATTTTTCAACAAAACTTAAGACTCATCACACCAAAACTCTTTAAAACAGATTAAGTACAATATTGTGACGTCTTAACCTCAAAGTTTGACTCAACAACACCACGCATTATCTATAATCAGCTCACTTTCTCTAACATAGAGGTCAATAATGTTGCCTTTCCTTCATGAATCAAGTGCCCTCACACAACAAAAGAGAGTAGTTCCAAACACAATAAAAGTTAATAACGATTAGGAACTCATGATAAAAAGAATTCACTCACTCTTAGAACCAACATTCATATGCCACAAAAGATGAATCATAGGCTTGCCCATAGTGTACTACTCTACTAATTCGAGCTCATTCAGTCAAGGATCAAATAGGACTTTAAATGGTTGTAATATAGGCCGCGGGACAGGTAGGATACACTTAGAAATAAGAGTGACTACACCTCCCTAAGCACTTTAATATATACATTTTAACATTTAAAACCTCACACTTATGTCAAACCAAAACTCCACCTTCACACCAATATACATCAACTCCCAAATTATTTAAGCACAATTATATCAAGAGTTACCACTTATCACTGAATATCTGCACACAATACAATTATTTTTTTTACGGTTTTGTTTTTAATTTTTTTTTTCTTTTCTTTCTTTTTCAATTCAAGTGGCTCTTGCTTTTTTCAAATCAGTACACCTTTCTCCTTATTTCATTAGTTCCACTCAAAAGCCAAACCAACCACCCCCCACTTCAACTTTTACAGAGTTCATAACAAATTCAAGTGCTCATGAGAGGTACAAGGTTCAAATAGATGGACAATTCAAACAAATGGGTAAATCTTGTAATGTGGTTGCCAAAGAACATGATTATAGGCTCAATGGGGTTGACTACGATTACATAACAATTTGGTAGGTAAACTATATATCTGGATCAACAAAGAAATGCCTATATCACTTCCAGGATTGAACAAAACTACTATTTCGCTTTGCAAACACACAGGGCAAGTTCTAGACATCAAATGCAATGCACAGAATACACCAAACCTCACACGCACATGGCACATGACTCACTCAAGATTGGATCATCAAGACACTCTAGTCAAAGTAGTTTAGCAAAGTCAAGATTATACCATTTAAGGCACTTATACAAGAGTAAAAAACTGAGCTTAAGCGTCACAACCAAAACACTCACTATTCTCAAGGCATGTTCAACTCAAGAGATATTGTTTCCATTTCAAATCATTGCACAAGGTTTTCCTACTTATAAAAATAAAAATCTAACTACACCCGGTTCAAACAAAACCCTTGAAAAAGAACCGCGCCACAAAGAAAAATCAAGAAAAAATTAATACACTACCTAACAAAATAAAATCTTTTTGTCTTTTTCTTTCGACTTTAATCCCTCAAGAAACCCGTCGAATGATATCCATCGTCGGGAAAAGTCGAAAAATTAAAATTTTATGTTTTTTTTTTAATCTCTACTACTAAAACTAACAAAAGAAAACTAAAACTAATATGGATGCATACATACATACAACATATCTCCCTCCCCACACTTTAAATGGTGGCATGCCTCCATGTCACACAAGAAAATATGCAAGGTAAAGAAAACTTCCCTGATAAAGTCAGTCGTGTCGGAGACAATGCCGGGGTCTAGATGGCAAGTCCGGCCAAGTGCACCCAGTCATGTCGTGACCTTCCTCTCAGACTTGGCATTTTGTCTAGCAAGGGCATCCACTCGAGCTCCCAAGTTTGTGATAGAGGTACGCATCCCCGCCATCTCCTACTCTAAGGCGCTCATTCTTGTGTCCCATCTACCATATGAGGTTCCCCCAACAACCTGCTCTTGTGGCGGGGAAGAAGCCACATCCTCAGCTTGCACCTCATTATCATCGTCGGGTGCTTTAGACTCATCGATATTTGCCTCAACAGGCCCAACATGGTTCTTCCCAATTACTATTTTATCAGCCCGGAATTTTTGTTCCTTTTTTACTTTCCCATCCATGTCCCTGTTTTCCGGTACACGTGCCTCACGGCATAACCGAGTGATTAAGGATGGAAAGAAGAACACATACCTTTGCAAAGGACAGCGAATGAACATCTCGCCGTGAATAACCTTAGCCACATCAAAATCATGGCCATTGATAAAGAACCAGATCAGTGCAGCCCGAGGACCATTCACCTCAGTGGTGTTTGAGGAAGGTAGCAGGAGGTTATTTATAATGTAGAGCCAACACTTCCCTTCAAAGGTTAACGATGCCGAATGAAACTTTCACCCCGGCATGACCCACGCTATCTCCTTGTTGGGCACACAAATTTATCTAAAGAACAGTTGCCACATGGGTGGTTCTCTATTATACGTGTCTTATTAGTCTTCTGCTTCAGGATTTTCCCCAAACACTGGCAAACGGTAGGCCCTTTGAATGGCCTTTGTGGATGCGTCTACACTCTTCTTTCGAACTGTACAAACATGGTTAATATGTTCCGGGCAGTTCGCATAAAACTCCCTAACAACCATTAAGTTGGCTTCGTCAAGTTCTTCAAAAAATATCCCCTGCCCTCGCCTGACCAATTCACGATACATGTTGGGGCAGTCATTTTGGAGGGACCCCATATCAATTCTCCTCTCTGGTATGGGCTTCTTGTGTGCCTTATTACATAAGCATTCCTGGGCTGTACTGGAGACGGACTTGTTATTATCATACGGGCGAGCATTAGCAGAAGCTCGCGACCGGGATGAGCCAACGTGACCACTTGAGGAGGCAGCTGTGGTTCTTCGTTTCTTAGACGGCGTCATAATACCTGTAACAAACAACAAATATCAGCTAAAGGCACAATGGGTGGACCAAGAGTGGTTACTCAGACTTCACCAGCAAACTTGGTCACAAAATTACACTCTCAAGCTCTTTGTGGCATTTATACGAACACCTGATAGCACAGTTCTACCGAACCCTCACACAATAATTTTTAGCCCCCAATTCGACGAAGGATACACCAATATCACACCTAACCCATCATGGTAAAATTCAACTACCACCCCATAAGAGGACGAGTATAACTAGAAAGAAAGTATTAACAAAAATCTACTACAACTCAAGAAAATGAAAAGAAAATAGACTAAACTAAGAGGGGGAAAACATCTCACTTACTTGAGGGAAAACTCGTGAGGATGCGGGGAGAGGAGAAGAGGAAAGAGGACACTGTTAATTGATGGTGGGATTGGATGCTTCAGAGAAGAGATAAGAGAAGGGGGTAGGGTTAGGGTTGTTTAGAAGAAGGGGAAAATTAGGGATTTTGAAATTGGGGTGGTTTAGGAAGGGGGGTCCGAAATTGGAGTTGCTTAGAAGAAGGGGATCTGAAATTAGCTAAAGAAAAAGAAAATGTCTTACCTGTGCGCGGTCGCGCACGTGAGGTAGTGAAAGTCTGAATGTGCGGCCATATGCGTGGTCAGTGTGCGGCCGCGCACGTTTTTTTTTATTTTTATAAAACTTCCTACCTTTCACGGCATGTGCCTTCCTGTACCTATTACATTATAGTATACACTAATTTCTATCTATTATGCTGTGAACAAATGTGAAGCAGAAAAAAGAAAATCTAACTAGCAGAACGGTTAGAGGTAGTTCTGAGTTATAGTCGTCAGCTTGACTCAACCGGGCATCCTCATTTGATTTTGATGCTCGAGGATTGCTGTACAAATCCCCCAACAAGATACGGTTTTAGTTTGTGCCCATTTACTTTGAAACTTTCTGTTCCGTCTTGGTTTTGGATCTCAATTGCCCCGTATGGTGATACATGTTTCACCACATATGGTCCCGTCCATCTAGACTTGAATTTTTTGGGAAATAATCTGAGTCTACTATTGTACAGTAAGACTGTGTCCCCTTCATGAAACTCCTTTGGCTTAATCAGATGATCATGCCACCTTTTAGTCGTTTCCTTGAAGATCCGCGCACTTTCATATGCGCCCAGTATGAACTCTTCCAATTCATTCATCTGCTCCAACCTGTGATCACCTGCAAGACTAAGATCAAGATTAAGCACCTTAATTGCCCAATAAGCCTTGTGTTCTATCTCAACAGGTAGGTGACACGACTTACCATTCACTAATTTGAATGGTGAAGTCCCTATGATCGTTTTGAACGCAGTTCTATACGCCCATAGTGTTTCATCCAACTTGACAAACCAATCTTTACGAGAAGCACTAACCGTCTTTTCAAGAATTCGTTTTAGTTCCCGGTTGGCCACTTCGACTTACCCACTAGTTTGGGCATGGTAAGGGATTCCTGTTATGCGTGTGGCCCCATACTTGGACATCAGTGCAACAAACTGCTTATTCACAAGTATGACCCATTATCACAGATAATCACTCGAGGTGTCCCAAAACGGGTAAAGATGTTTTTCTGCAAAAACTCACACACCACCCGAGCATCATTGGTCCTAGTAGGGATTGCTTAGACACATTTAGAGACGTAGTCAATGACTACTAGGATATACTCATGAGAATGTGACATTGGGAACGAACCCATGAAGTCAATACCCCAAACGTCAAAAATTTCACATACCCGAATGGAGTTGAGAGGCATTTCATCCCTTTTGCTAATATTACCTACTCTCTTACACTTATCACATGTAGCTACATACGCCCTTGCATCTTTGTACAGAGTAGGCCAAAAGAAACCGGCTT